TTTTTTTGACAGCAGTTTCCTTTCCCTCCCGCACAGAGTGGCAATGTGTAGCAAAGCGATCTTAGCACTCCTGGTCTATGGCATAATAATGCACTGCAGCGTCTACTGCTCACCTGCGGCCGGACTTCAGTACCCGGCGCTCAGGTAGGTCCATCCCCCGTCCGGGAGCTCCGTCGGGACCAGCCCAGCCCCCCGCTGCCCTAGCTTAGCTAAGGGCAGCGGAATCTTACCGGGGAGGAAAATAAGAGGGGATGTGGAGGGGAGTCACCCTCCACTTGGGCTGTGTTCCCCCGCCCTCGGCCGCAGCATAGGACCCCCTCCGGCTGCAGCACTGGCATCCCCCTGGTCCGCTCCTCGGGACTCCGGTGCTGTAAATCCGCGGCCTCTTGTCCCCGGGAGTGGGGGACCTGCTCTCCAGCGCGTCGGCGGGAGCGGGCCGAGGTCCCGGCTGCATCTCGACGGGGCACAGCAGCTCCTCCCCCGCCTGCCCCCTGTCCGCGGGGCCCTTGGCCATCCCCGGCCGCCTGCAGCTCACGCAGGGTGAGCGCCGAGCATCGCCTGTCCGGCTGGGGGGACCGGGGACGGGTGCGCCGTTGTCTGCAAGCATGTGGGAGCTGTCACGGTTTTGTAGCGGCATTGGAGMCGGTGGGATTCAGTCTCTTCCCCTGTTTACCTGTCGGTGTGTGAYAGCCCTCCTCAACAGGGAAAGGGGCTGGCACAAGGTTGTTTGGCTTTCTATGTTCGGAGTTGTCTTGCTGGGCTTTGGCGCGGACTGATGCCTGTGCTGTTACTTCCCAGCTGGGAGCCGTGGGCGTTTGAACCCCTCTGTGCTTGGGGCAGGAATGGGGAACAGCCAGAGGCACCAGCCACGAGGGAGTTTCCTCCGCTGGGCTGCGGCTGGGGACGCAGGGCACCTGGTCCGGGACGGCCGATGGCAGCCTGTTCTTACCCTGCTTGCCGCCTGCTGGGGCGACCGGTGTTGCTGGGCTTGGGGGGCGTTTTGGGCTCGGTGTGTCGTCCTGYTCCACCGGCGCTTGGCTCTGTTCCGGGGTGCCCTGTGGGGGTCACTGCCGTGCGGTGGGCAGAGATGGGGGGGCGGGGGGACCGATGCCGGGCGCGAAAGGTTGTCCGAGGTGGATGTCCTTTTTGGGGTTCCGAGGTGTCCTTGCAGTAACCGGGAGCCCGTCGGGGCTGGGCCCCGTCATCTTCCTGGACAGTGCGACTAGGGGGCAGCGGGCTCGGTGGCCTGCGGGGCCATTAGCCAGCAGCGAGCCGGCTTTCTTCATTCAAGCGCCTGAATTAGCAGGAGTGAAACACTTTAGCGGCATCTATTATTAATACCTCCGCTAAAGCTCACAGACAAAAATAGCTGCCTGTAACGTGAAATGACCTACATCGTACTGCAGAGAGGGAGGCAGAGAGAGGGGGCTGGGGGGCTGGGACACATACAAAACTGAGGAGATCTCAGAGGGCAGAGAGGCCGTTCAACGAAAAACAACAGGCGAAGCCCCCCCGTCCGGGCGGGCGCTGCGGGGAGGAGCGGGGCGCTGTCCCCGGCCCCGGCGGCGGGACTGCCGCTCACCGCCCCGTGTGCGCCGCGGAGGCCGCTCGGCTCCCGCCCAGCCCCTGGCACAGAACGCGTGTGTGCGGCAGCCTGGGCGGGCGTGCGCTCCGCTCGGGAGCAAGCCATGGCTGTGGCAGAGAGGGGATGTTTCTCGGGCCGGGGCGTGGGCCGCGGAGGGCGGGGGGAGGGGGAGCATGTTCGGGGGTTTCTTGGAGCGCGTCTGACGGCGGGTGTGTTCCCTCCTCCGCGGTTCTGCCCCGCAGACGAGAGGGCGGGGATGGGGAGCGGGCGGGTGCGGGAAGGGATGGGGGCAGTCGGACGGGGCTCCCGGGGCTCCCGGGTCGGCTCCGCCGAGGGGCAGCCACCGAGGCAGCAGGAARCCGGCAAAGGGGAGTGGAGCGGAGCGCCCCGCGGAGCACGGCTGACTCCTTCTCCTTGCTGCTCTCGTTGCCAGGCTGGAGGATGAAGTCTACGACGAGGACGGGAACACCCTGCAGGACTTCGCCTACGACCACGAGCCTCTCGGCATAGCGAATCCGTCCTCCATGATCGGCGAGATGTACACCTTGTATTACCCACCGGAAAAGAGGTGACTGCAACTCGCGGGGTGTCAGGCGTGAATTTGGAGTAGGGAGAAAAATCGGCTCTGGCAGAACCGATTGGGGGAAAAAATAATAATGATACCTAACAAGCAAACAGCAACAACATAAAAATAAAAATCCCGATCCCAAACAAACGACAATACTGCCCAGGTCCCGGTGCCCAGTGTAAAGCTCAGAAGAAACGGAAAAGCCGCCTTACCTCCAGCAGCGCGGGGGAGGGAGCGGGGGAGCCRCCCGCGCCGGGGAGGGCTAGCGATGCTCCCACAAACGGAGCAGAAATGCCCTGCCGGTGCGGAGCCCTGCGAACGCGGCGGGGAGGGATCTGGGTGGGGACGAGAGGTCCCGGGGGACGCGGGGAGATGCCGCCCTCCACTCTCCGGCGGAGAGGGATGGTCACCTCTACCGCCCGGGCTCCCGCAGCCCTCCGCAGCCAGTTCCCGGGCCTCGCCGCTCACCCGCGGGCKCTCCCTTCTGCCCAGGCACGCCGATGGGATCTTCAACAAAGCCTACAGGAAACTCCTGGGCCAGTTATCCGCCAGAAAATATCTGCACTCCCTGATGGCCAAGCGGGTGGGGTAAGAGTCTCTACTTGTTCTTTTTCGCGGTGGGCGTTGGTGCTGCTGGAGCGGAGAAGCTGGAAGGGCCAAGGCTGGGGAAAACAAAGCTGCCCCGGCCGGGGTCGGGAATATGTTGCACCCGGGATGAGGCTGGTGGAGTCCGGGTCCCCAAGCATCAGCCACCCCTGGCCGCTCCCGGCGCAGCGTGAGGCTGGCTGTCAGCGAGGGCGTTTGGTTGCGTTAATATAGTCGGACACATATATATATGTATGTGTGTATGTATATATACATGTATGTATGTATATGTACACACACGTGCGTGTATGTATCTGTCTATATCTGTATCTATAGCTGTAGCTATATATCTATATATTTATATATCTATATAGCTACCTATCTATAAATCTATATATTTATATCTATATGTCTCTATAAATTTTTATAATCAACCTATTCAAAAACTAAGAGGTTGTGCAGCCCTTACGGTTTGCTGGGGGGAGCAGCTTATGGAGAGCGATGATGGAGGGCTCAGCTGCAGCAGTGGGGGCTCGGTTCAGCCCTGCGCACCCCCAGCCGCCGGGCGGGATTCCCTGGGGCTCCCCGCCGCCGGCGGGGCAGGGGCGAGCCCGGTGCCACCCGCTGCCCTTCGGCAGAAGGTAACACKTTAATGAAGCCCCAGGGAGAGCAGCTTTCCCGGCCGCAATGAATAATTCATAGCGGGGAGATATTGTCTCTCCCGCCGCCGCCACTTGCGCGCCCCGCGTCGGGAGCAGGTTGCGGCGCGGCTTTTGTCTCCCCGCGCATCTTCCGCGCAACGTGTTGCGCCGGGGGCAGCGGCCGGCGCGGGGCTGCGCAGGGCAGGGGGCGGTGCGGAGGGGCGCGGAGAGGGGCGGAGCGGCCCCGCCTGATGCAGCTGTGCTTCTCGGTGCTTGCAGCGGTGCCAGCGGCGGCCTGGGGGACGATGCGGAACCGCTGACCAAGCGGCACATAGACGGCATCTTCACGGACAGCTACAGCCGCTACCGGAAACAAATGGCTGTCAAGAAATACTTAGCAGCCGTCCTGGGGAAAAGGTATAAACAAAGAGTTAAAAACAAAGGACGCCGAGTAGCGTATTTGTAGCGATGTGAGTAACCAGCCACTCCTGTGTATACAAAGTCCTAAGAGAGAGAGAGAGAGAGAGAGAGAGAAAGAGAGAGAGAGAGATAAACCCAACAACAACAAAAAAATCTAAACAAAAACAAAAGTCATTTCCAAACTGACTGAACAATCACCGCTCCTGTGTTATCTAAACATGTATTTATGTATGAAGTAAAGCCATTAAATGAATATTTTGATAATAATATTGTTTTTCTTTTGTACAAAAAGCACTAGAGAAACGCACAGATCTACTTTGTGGACCAATCATTAAGTTATATATAATATATAAATATATATATATAAATACTACTAAGAATAGTAAAGAACAATTCTTCATGAAAAACCTGCACAAGAACCAGAATTCGCCTGAGCTGTTTATGTTTTTATATAAAAGAAATAGAAAAAAAAAGACAATCATTGTTTTGAATATTACTCCTATTTTTGTAACAGAAATTAAAAGGATAGTATTTTTATCCACGACAGGGTCGAAGACATTAATTTTCACCATTTGCTACTGTACATAGAGAAGGATGACCTGCTCCCAGGGGGATTATGAGGAAATTGATTTGGGAGAATTGGTGAAGCAGATTCTTCCCCTGGTGAGTCTTAAGGCAGGCTCCTTTGCCACTAGCCTCTCTGAAGGGGCAGCGTCCCCTTTCTTCTAGATTTCGATTATTTTTTTTCTCTCCTGCTTTCTTTGATTCCAGATGTATCTGTATTAGTGTATCCTCAAACAATGAACTTAGAGGATAACTATCTTGTGAAAACAACAGCTCGATCCAAATTRTGCATCTCTGTTGCCTATTGGAGGGAGAAATAGTTAAAAAACCCMAAACCAAAATAATAATARCAAAAAAAAAWTCAAAATWAAACCAAAAAAAGCCAAACTCAAAACCCCAACCCCAAAATCCCGAACCAGCAGCAAGGGCAGTAAGTACTAAGCCCCGTGCACTGCTCTTCTGGCTGGCTGGGCAGAGTTGCAGAACAAAGCCAAAGCAGAGACAGGACCCGTTTGGAAAGAGTGGGGAAGTGAGCGGGGGCGGCCCCCGGCGCGCCCCGGGGCCGGAGCCGGTACCGGAGCCGGTGCCGCAGGGTCGAGATAAGACGAGGCGATCCCACCTCCGATCCGCTACCCAACTGCCCCGGGCAGCTCGGTACTGGACCTGGATGCAAAGTACAGTGTGTTACTCTCCAGTGCTGTCCATGCTTCTCATCATGTGTAATAATGAGCAGGGTTCTCGCCTTTGCATTTTTCGGTCGGAGTTGCTCTTTTCTTTGATTGCTTTTTCTTGTAGGACCTCCCGCCTCTCATCCTCTCTTCGAACTTTTCCGAGCTCTGTTTAACCCACCTGAGTCACCTTTTTGGGTTATGTTCTTTTTGGAAAAAAAAAAAAAAAAAAAAGATTGTGAACGCTCTCTCACTCCTTTGTTCTGTTTTATGCAAGCTCTTATTGTACAAGTTTAGGAACCCCTGTTGTAGCTACCACTAAAGAATTATGCACTACTACGAAAGTTTTTGTTCCTTGTTTATTGAGTTTGGAGGTAAAATGTATTTTTCTACATTCTGGCTTATTGCTTAGTAAAATTTATTTCATAAAACAAACTTTTGTCATAAAAGAATGTGTAGTGTTCACCTGTGGTCCGGTTTCTAACGAGATAAACCATTTTCACCTCATCTCTCTATGTACGGACTCCTATCTTACCGTCTGCCCGCGGGCTGGTCCCGTCCCCCGCCCGGGCCGGGAGCGAAGGAGGACACGTAGGTACCCGCTTCCTTCCAGCTCACCACACAAACCTTACAGGAGTCTTGCCAAAGACACAAAACGAGCCCCGCATTCAAGACGTCGGAAAGCAACCCCCTAACCCTCCCAAAAAACCCTCGCGGGTAAAAACCTTCCTTCCCCGGCCGGGAGGAGCGGGGCGGGCCGGGCAGAGCCGGTCGGGGCGGGCAGGCGCTGCCGGTCCGGGCTGTCCGGGCTGTCCGCACTGCCGGCACCGCCTGCCCGCTCTGTCCCCCCGGCTCCACCCGCCCGCCCGCGCTGCCGGCCCGCCCGGGGCGCTCCCGGGGCGCAGGGACGCGGTGTGCAGCTTTCGTGCCTTCTCTTCACCTTGTAAATCGCCACGAGTTCACGGATGGCTATTTAGCGGCCCTACGATGCTGCAACACATCGGCTTGCGTTTTAGTCGTCCTTCTGTTCTTTGGCCATGGGCAGAGTGCGCTGTGTTTGTGTCGGCTGTGGTATAATGACATAGGGCTCTCTTGACGTTTTGTTTATGACCTTATCAGTTAGAGTTCAGTGGCTAGTCGCAAGCATTATGAAGTGATCACCTAGGTTATTATCCTTTGTACGATTTCTTTTTTTTCTTTTAGAAACGCCAACAGCCTTACCAAAATTTGAGCAGATTTGAGATACAGTCATAGTAGGTAGATGTTAGTCTTGGAGAACTTATTTTGTGTGCAAATGAATATAAAAAGAACTTAAACAAAGTATTATTACACACATGATATCTATAACTAGGACTTTGATAACTGTTATATAAAGTGTGTAAAGTTTGTATTAATAAATTTTTGTAAACAATGCAATTTCGTCTAATGTTTGGGGGAGASAAATCTAGAACCTAACAGTGAAAGCTGCATTTCATTTAATTTGTTTTTTTTAATCGGTTCATTTTTAAGCAGTGTTCTTCTACATTCTTTCATGTCTGGGATATAATTTTATTAAGTCTCCACATTTTATTACCTCTAACGTTTTTACCCATGGTTACTACTCTGTTCAAGTAAAGAACTGCCAGARTAAAGAGCCTAGCTCCACACACATCAGCTCAAAACACTCTCTAAAATACGTGAACCAAACTGGTGGGCACCTACAGTCCATTCATCCAACAATTCCTATGCTTAGAAACCATTTATTTCAAGCGGAATTGGTGTGTTTGATGAGATCTTCTCCTAATCCGCTTTTAATGAACATTCTGTACGTGATAATGTGCTTCCAAGTGTCACCCGGCTTGGGCAAAAGCAGCATCTTTCTTCGGATTAAAGATGTACTAGCTGTTCTAAAAAAAATTGTACTGCAACATGACAAAGAGTTCCTTAAGTTTTACAGGGTAGTAGGTGGCTGCAGTGAAAAAGCACAGGGTAGTCTGTCAGCACAAAGTGGACATCAGGATACCAGAACTTAAATCTTTACTTTAGGTTAGCAATAGTTACTTRCGTTAATTATTTTTATTGTAGCTCTGAGACTTTACTCAACTATGTTGAAAAGTAGCAGCAATTTAGTTTAAACAAAACTCTATTTCTTCCTAAGATCATACAATTAAAAAACAAAGCATGGTAATTAAATGACAATTTCCTAGCAATACATTTTTCAAACCTCTAAATCCAGGATTTGACACAGGGTGGTCATATCCTCTCTCCAATGAATTCACTTCTAAACTGGTTTCAACAGTATTTTACTGCCTAACTGGAAAACACCTAGAGAACTTAACTGATGGTGTCAATGTTAGGAGTTACTGCAAAGTGATTAAGTGCAGACCACATCAGACAAGAATCCCAACCCACCCCAGCCCCCAAAACACACTTGTGGGGGAGGGAGAGATGCCAGTGATTTCCCAGACTTTCAGCATAACAAAATCCAGCCACTGTTTCCCAAAGATAGCATGGAGCAAACACCTGCTCTTCAGCTTATCCAGTGCTCACACATATAACAACACTGCATTTCCTGCCCCTCAAAACTGAAAATGTGGTTAAGACATCCAAGCTGAATACCTTCTTGGTATTGGTAGCTAGAGGATGAAATTTAGGATTGTTCCACCTAAAAAGTAAGGTCTTCATCAAGCCATGGTACTTGTTGAAGGTATGCAAAAGATGGAAATTCTGCTGTAAATCACGTAGAGATAGTCCTAGCCTTACTCGACTGAAATTCCCCTTAACTAATTCAAACCCAGTTGCATGGAAAAAATCAGCTCTGTTCCCAATGATTTAAAGTGCCATCTGAAATGATACTCTTGGAAAATGTGCAATATTGAGTCTCAYAGTATGAGTTTTTGGGGTGATTGCTGGAGTTCTGTATACTACTATTCGACTAGGAGCAGAAATGGAAAGCCAGCTGAAGAGACAAGAATGACTAGGCAAGACATGGTTTTGGAGCCTTGCATTGAAAAAACCTCCAGACATTTAGTCAAAATGATAAAATCTAGCTAGCTAATAAAGGAGGCTGCTACAGATTCCATCCCTTGGAAATGTGGTGCAACACCATGTCTGTCACAGAGGTACACAGGTTGACAAAACCGAAAAAGCCAATTTGTGTAGAGCCTTRTTGTAAACCCACCTGTAGCCAGTATCTACCTTTCACAAGATTTGCTTATATGGGTGCTGATATCCTCTCCACACTCCTTCAGAACCCTTCAGCCTTCTTCAAAACACTGAGTTTTTCTGTTCTCTSTATATGTTTTCATCTAGAATTAAGGAAAATAGGAAAACAGGAGGAAATTTGATTTTTGGGGTCTTTTTACTTCAAACCTTTGCAGCTTGCTTCTCAGTTATCGGATAAATAATTTAGCCTTTCTTCAGGAAAAACCTTCAGGGAAAGCTCATCCTGAAAAAATGTAAGTACCTTGTACTTAGCCTCAAAATGTGCATGTCCTCTGAACTATGCTCATGGATTTTTAAGACCCAAGTGGACTCTTATGATCATCTACTCTGTTTTAGATAATACAGGGCATAGTGTTTCATGGAGTTCTTCACTCAGCATCTCATTTCTGAGTGAGCTATTCTGTATGGCAGCAGTATTGATTGCAAAGCTAGCAGGGATGGCAAATTTACTGGATAAGTTGTTCCAAATGTGGCAGTTTAGCACTATGTTCTTTGTCTCTGTTTGTCTCATTTTTGAGTCCAAGAGATTTGTAGCCTGCTGAAGAATCTCTAATGCCTGTAGATTTCCCTCTCCACATAGGTAGTCTCAGGCASTGATTTACTCTCCTCTGTGCCCTTTCTTTGAGGTAGTGAAGTTGATCTTTAAGTGCTCTGCATGAGGGGAGGGTTTCCTCAGGTGTCCCTATTTCGGAACCGTTTGTATTTATTAACATCCTTACTAAAGTGTTGAGACTAAAAATGTTTACAATGCCTAGCAGAGACCACCTCGAAGATGTGACAAAAGGAAGTAACATCCTCCCTCTTCTTCAGGTGCTACTCATTGCTAACAAGGGTTGCATTTGCTCTCTTGGCCATTTTGTCGTGCTGTGAGATCACGACCTGTTCATAATCCTCTCCCACAGCTAGCTTCTTTTCCAGATGATTGCTTCACATGCACATAAGCCATGGCCTGGAAGTGACACCATGGGTCTTGGTTCCTATTTTGCACAATTATTTTATATTATGTTAAAGCTTTAATTTTTTTTTTCCTCCAGATATTTTACCTCACTGAGCTATTACTCTGGAAAACCTTCATAATTTTTTCCACACAAAGACCATTCTGTGTCATGTCAGCTGTCTTCTGGCATTCATTTCTGTCACCTTTAGAAAGCAGACCCTTTCCAGCAAYGCTGCTTATGTATTTGTGCATTGGGGTACATGGGCTCAATCCTGCTGCAGTGCAGATCTGTGTAATTATTTCAGATAAGGATTTGACCCAGYTGTAAGTGCAGATCCTGGGGCAGAGCTAGTCAGAATGACTCATAGCAGGTTGCTGGCCAGATCTCCTTTTGCACTTGGGTTAGAGGCAATCCCATACTGGCATAGCTGAGATCCCATTCACTCTAAACCTATGTGAAACATCAGGAAATGCTTTTTGCTAAAACCATGGCTCAGTGACTTCCCTGGAATACAAAGACAAGAAAAGTAGTTCATGATGCATTA